CCCTTCAACGCGCGGTTTAGGTTTTGTTGCATTGATGAAATTGTAGAAACATGATAAAGAAATCTATGGTGGATGCGTTTCTGTTGAGAGTTGATTGAATCACACCAGCGTTCCTGGTGTGATTTATATTTTTAGGATTTGGGGAAAAAATAGAAGAAAGTTCACATACCTGCATCAGCCACCTATTTGATCTGTGGACAGTTTTCCATCCTTGCAACAAAACTAGCAGCAGTAGTGGAGTTTGAAGATGCGATCCACTTCTTAAATCTATCTTTTTGCGCTCCCCTAAATGCATTCAGAAGTTCTGCAATCGTTCTGCAGGCAATCCTTCCACATTGCTAATGAAAGCAAATGATTCAGTCCATTCTTTGAATCCTCTTTTCTCATCAGCTATCTTCCTTTTGCACCGCGCCACGCTGGTTGGTTGCAAGTTGTCAATACTGATCTCTATGGCTATGACGCAAAATATTGTTTACATTTATTTATTGTACAAAGGTTTTCAGCATTGGAAAACGTAATACATTTTTGTTTGACCTCCTGTATACCATATTAAAACAACCAAACAAAAAAAAAAGATTTTCATACATTTTTGAAAAAGGTCCAGGGAGCCGTTAGGGGACTTAAAAGATCCGCATGCGGCTCCGGAGCCGCAGGTTACCAACCCCAGGTCTAGGGGTTTTGGGGAGGTAACATAAAAATGTGTCCAGAGTAAATAAGTGGAATGTAAACTCATTACAAAAGATGATTTCACAGAATCAAAACCCAATACAACTTAACGCAATTTAAACAAAGAAATGGGGGAATAAATTCAAGAACGGTTATGTGCAAATGATGTTACAAAATGTTCAAACCAGTCAGTCTAATTTTAACTCAAAACAACCCAAAAGAAAAGACAAAGGGAGCACCAAACCTCCCAAACACAAGCTTCTAGCTTGATCAAAGTCCACCTAAAGCAGATTCAGAAAAATATACAGAACAAGCGAGGGCAAAGAGTTTTAACTGCCCGAAACAGTTTGAAACCAAAGGTGGGGGGAACAGCTTAACACAACCTCTTCCTACTAGCTGTCCCCAAACTGAAAGCTTCACAGGGGCCTTTTATATGGTGCAGGTGGGCCTCATCAACATCTGATTGGCTTGACAATCTCCTGCTGGTGCAATGATGTCACTGCTCCTCTGCAGCCTTCAGGCTGCCAACAAGGAAGCTTTCTGTCAGAGCTGAACCTGCATTAAAAAAAACAAGCCTTCACAGTCTTAGAAGGCCAGGGACCGTAACAGACAGGAAGTCATTTTCACATTTATACCCAATCCAAATATTCCCCATACTTAGCATTACACTTTTTTCCCAGAGTTTTAGTGACATTACATTATCAAAGGTACAGAGAACTCCCTGCATCCCCTTGGGGATTGGGGGGCCGCCATTGTGGGGCACCCGGGAAGCAGTGTGTGGTTAAGGGTCCATGGGAGTGGGGCTTGAACCCAGAACCTCAGGTTAATTCCAAGCGCAATGCCCTAACCACTAGGGCGCCACTCCCCAATGCAGGCATTAGCATAAAGACCCACACAGGCAGCTCATTTCCCCCCAGCTGGGATAAAAAAACCAGACTTCCTGTTTGCAGGAAGGGTTATTTACCATTTGAGCTAGCTAGCTGCTAATTTAATTGAACTGAAGCCTAAACGGTTAGGGCCTCATAATCTTTCCTCAGAATTGGGACACCCCTCTCTGCATAGTTGAAGTTCGGGTTCATAAGCGACTGCATGTTTATGTATCCACTTACAAAAGATACGTCCCACCATAAGAGAGAAGACAAAGCTTTTTTTAACCTAAATGGGTGATAGAGAAAATAAAGATGACAGAGGGGAATGCTCTTAAGAGGTTTCTGAGTGGCTTTTAAAAACTCCTTTTTAACATAACCCCTGTTGTCCTACCTCCAGCACAGGAGACCTCCCAACTAGCCTGTTCAAGGACATTGGACAGGGTTTGGAGTGTATACAAAAATACATTTTGTTCAGTGCAGCTTTCAGACAGTAAATGAACATTTCCATTCCTTAAAGTGCAGCAGTGATCAAATATAAACAGTGTGGGAGAAAAAAACGTGGTGCAAAAAAAAAAACGCGTTGATATGGAAGTTCAGAGCATTGATGTATATTGTGCAAATATGCTGTATTTTTGGTTTGGTGTTATTGCTGTGATGCAGACTTTGTGGCATGATTTAGAGTTTTTTTTCAACAGTTTAGCAGTCTGATGGCGGTGGGGAAAGAACCTGTTGCTGTTGTGGTTGCTTAACTTTATTGAGGGCACAGCTGGACGTCTCGTGTTGGTTCTGGTTCTCTCTGATGGGGCTCTGGCACTAATTTCCCATTGCTCCTGTCTGAGTTCCAGAACACGTCTCACCTGTTGATGGAAAAATAAAATGTACAAGTCTCATCAATCAAGAATTTGCGATAAGGTGTTTTTCATTCAAGCCAGTATTTATTATATGTTTTACCCTGCAAGAGATACTGTTGCCAATATTAATGCCTGTTTTGCTCAAACAGGTTTTCTCTACTTTAGAAGAGACAGGGAAGACAGGAAGAGATTCTCACAAACAAAATAGACAGTTTCTCACAAATTGAAGCATTTGTTGAAATATTGTATTGTCTAAAGGAGGCTAGCCTCTTAAGAAAACATCTAGAACGGTACAACAGCTTCTGAGACATCAGTAAGATAAGACTACGTGTTCAGCCTTCTCTAGCAGGTGCTTTGCTAAAGCAGATACCTTTAAAAGTAAGTAAATTGAAATCAGCACAGGGATTTGCATGAGAAGGTTTGTGATAGTGAATAGATTTTTCCGACCACGCACCTTACTTTTGTTGTGTGGGAGAATCTGGTGAACCTGGGAACACAGATACCAATGGCTTTGTTTGGCTTTCAAAAGTAAAAAAAAATAAAAAATTGCAAGTTGCCCGGTAGAATCTCTGTCCTCCATGTTTTGTGGGACCTTTTCTATGGCCTTTCTTCGTTAAGTCAGGATCCACAATCCCTCACTCGGAAGGGATACATTCATACCCTCTACCCCAGGGTTGCTCAAGTCCAGTCCTTAAGAGCTGCCATCCTGTAACTTTTAGATGTATCTCTTCTCTAACACACCTGAATCGAAAGGCTCAATCCCCTCATTAAGCCCATTAGATGAAAGGTAACGAGCCACTTATTTGATTCAGGTGTGTTAAAAATGGGGTGCGTGAAAAAGTTGCAGGATAGTAACTCTTGAGGACTGGACTTGAGCACCCCTGCCCTACCCCTTGTTTTGTCCACTACCCCTACATGCAAAGAGGAATTGGGAAATCACTACCCTCATGGGAAAGCACTAAATTTAGGGATAGGGCTAAAAAAATTGGTCAGAGCAAGGGTCAGCAACTCACATTGTTCAAAGAGTCACATTGAACCAAAAAACAAAAACAAACCTGTCTGGACCTGCAAAGTCTTATATAAGCCTCCTAAGGCGACACAGAATCTAAGTGTATATTAGCCCATTATCAAAATGACTAAGTAGGCCTAAATATATAATAAGCATTCATAATTAACTGGTTTATTTTCCCTTCAATACCTGCATAAGAGTTCTCCCTGTTCAGTGTCATTGACTCATCACAGGCAACTGAGTACACTGGAGCTGAATTAATGCCCTTGATTTGCTGATTGATTCTTAGTCGGAAAAAAGGTGCTGTGATGCTTTGATGAATGAATCCTTCATATAATCACAGTCTCTGAAAGTTTTTCTATGCTTTATTATCTAGCAGCAGTAGAGGAGTTTGTAGATTGAATCAGTGTTTGCCAAAAAATATTATCGTAAATGTATTGTTTAAATTTATTTAAACAATACTCTAAGTTCAGGGAATGGTTCTATTAACTGCTTTGTTAATTTTCCTACTGTTGTTTATATCCCAGTTCCTTTAGTGGCTCTTAAAGAGATCCTGGACAGAGGGTTGCAGACTCAAATGACCCACTCACTATCGTCTGTAGGATCTTTTTCTATAAACTACTTTTAGCTTAGGGTAAGGAAAATGGGGTCATTTGACTCCAATGAATAATTTCAGCATAAGGCTGCCCTGTTATTTAAATTTTAGGATCATAGGCTTTCATTTTTCACCAGGGTCACCTGCCCAAGCCAGGCATCAAGACAATATACGGATAGAAATAAGATATTTTTTAGTTATACTGGAGATTTGGGTATTTTGTAGATTATTTATCTTACAAAACAACAAAATGAAACATTTGAAAGAGAAAAATGAACTGATACAGGTTGGTTTAGCTGCATATTGTTTATTACAGGAACCAAATAAAAATTGGATGGGAACACCCTGCAACATGTGAGATATGGGGTTTTTTAACCCGATCTGGGAAACGGACCTAAAAAATGGAAAAAGTGTTGTTTATTAAAAGTTGTTTGCACTGCTGAAGGGTTTGAATAATTTCATAATGAAGTTTGCATTTAGTCCTTCTCTGAGCATTTTAATTTCTTTAGATATTTCAGCTTCCTCCCTCTACCCAAAGACTGGCATGTTAAAGGTCCACTATAAAGGCTGGAACACATTAGACATGATTGAGCATCCGATCTGAGTGAGAATCAGACCAGATTAAGGCGGAATAATTACTTTAAAAAGAAAGGGACTGGTCATGATTTTCTGCAACTGTGCTCGACTGAGCTAGACCCACCTGCTCCACCTCCTCTCTGTACTCCTGCTCGTTGTCGTCTCTGATGAGGCTCACCGCCATGTTTGTCATCTATGAACTTCACAATGTGTTTGTGGTGAACCTGGAGATGCAGTCATGTGTCATCAGGCTGAATAGCAGGGGGCTCAGGACCTACGCAGCAATATGACGGGAATATCATCAGTTAGGCAGGCAGAGAGACACAGCTACAGAGTAAAATACATCAGGAAAAATCTCTGAATAGCAAAATAAACCAGTCAGATTTGTCTGGAAACACACAGTGCTTATACAGCATGCATGGCAGGCTTGGATATAAACTATCACTAAAATATTTTAGTTAATAGGCTTCTTATTTACTTTAGAAGCTTAGGAGTATGGATAAAGAGCAGCCGAAACAGATTCAACATTCACTAACCAAACCCTTTATCTAAAGGAGACAGATCCAACCTCCTCAAAGCTCTGCAAGGATGAAGACATTTTGAACATGGATATACCTGTTGAGATTATTTTTAAAGCCACTGCTTACTTTTAATATTTCAAGTCAGTATTTTTATTTAGTCAGTAGGCGTAGTAGGTTATTTTTAAATCAGTCTTTCTTCAGTTTTAGTTTTTTCTTTAGCAGGAAACATCTGCACATGAATTACAATAAAGAAGTAGCAACTTTCCTCCTTTCTCATGCTTTATACAAAGCCTGCAAGGTGTTGTTAGAACTGCAACTCGAAATTCTCAAGTTTTAAACCCATACAAATGCCTTTTGCATGCTTTTTGTTTTCATATGTCGTTGGTTTATTTCTCTTGAAATGTATTGATTGGTAAGTTGTCGAAATTGTTGTTCTTTCCATCTCTTGTTAAGAGGTTAAGAAGTGTTTTTATGAGATTTGTATTTGTTGTGTATGGTCTGGTGAGTATGTCTGATCTATTTATACTCGCAGCTAATCACACTTTTACACAATTAACTTGACGGTGTGGCTTTTGTTAGGGAAGAAAATGTGAGTATCTTTTTTTATAATGACCATTAACGGTCTGTACAGAGATGTTTCCACTTAGACTGCTTAATAGAGGATGGTTTTGCTGCATGCAGTCTTTAGCCGTAGAATTAGTTGCAGAAATCCTGCATTAAGTTTTTTTCCTTTGAGGTTAGGATGTTTCTGAGACAATGAGTAACAAGTTTGATTTTGTTTTTGTTAAATAAGAGTCCTAAAAACTAAAAAAAAAGGAAAAAAATAATCTTGAGAAATTTAATGTCATTATAGATCCACAGCTGATCAGGAAACGGTAATAAATTGATTCTGTAATTTAAAATGTGTAAATTTTAGCCTGTAATGATCAAAGTATGGTTGAATGCAATTGTTAAGATTCATATAGCAGTGGTTCTCTGCCAGACTAAAGGCTTTTGATGTGTTTTAAGGAAAGTAAAGAAAACGGATGTTGAGCAATTATGCTACAAAGGTCAGAGGCTGGTTTTGATGACAAGGCAAAAGAGTCTCTCATTTCCTAATACTGTTTTTATTTGACCTACAAATACGGATCAATCTTGTTTGAGCAAAGGTCAGAGTTCATGTCTTTGTTCACCAGTCTGAGCTCCCCACCATTAAGTGTCAAAATGCTGTGACTGCGTATAGAATTTATTAGATTTTTTTGTACATGGTTAACTTCTTATATTATGGGATTTATTGAGTAATTTTCATCTAGCTCACTTCCAATTCCCGGTGAAGGCAACAAGTTGCTTTATGGTGGAGTTGCTGCCTAAAAGTTGCTAATGTGTCAGATTGAACATTTAGTCTCACTCTGCTGTGTTTGACCAAATGGGCTCTGTTCAAAGCTGAGCCTGTTCAACACATCTGCTCTGAGTTTAATGAAGCTTTTATCTCTCTGCATAGATCTGTGGTCTTTTATCATCTTTTTTTATACTCTCTCTTTTTCTGTATTTCTATTTTTTTCTTTTTTTCCCACTAATATTTGTTTTATTTCATATGCATAAAGTTGAACAAAAACCCAACAAATAGGCGGCCTTTATTCATTTTTAACAAAAATGCTGAAAAAATAAAAAATAAGAATGATAGTAATAATAATACCCAAATGAAATTATGTGCAAAACTTAAGTCCACGTCCAGAATCAGTTTGTTTGTTATCCAGGTCTTTTATTTATCTTCACCTCTTATGTGGATTTTAGGGCCTGTACTATTCCTACTACAAGACCATTATCGAGGCTCCTTCGTTCATGGATGGACTCCACATGATCATGAACGATCGACTAACTGAGTATCCTCTGGTTATCAACACTCTGAAGAGGTTCAATCTCTATCCTGAGGTAACTATTGTTTTAAGCATGTTCTTTTACTAGTTTTAGTGTCATATTTCTTTTTCATTGTGTAAAAAAAAAAGAATCCCACGAGAAAAAAAAGTGTTTTTAATAAGATTACCAAAGCACCCCTGCAGTACTTTTAGCCACTCTCTGTTGTTACTTCCATGCCTCTTAACGTTCAATGACTTTCTCAATCCTCAGAGTAATGCTTCCTCTATTCTGTTCTCTTTTTTCATTACAACCTACAGGTTTTTTTTTATTTTTATAGGACACAGGTCTGAGGACTGTGAAGGTCCCAATGAAAGAAAGGCTGCTTGATATATAGGCATTAAGGTCTTATCAGTTCTCATGCCCGTTTGCTGTGTAGATTTGACCGTTGTCCTGCTAAATGACCCAGTGATGACCCATCATCAGTTTCCTTGCAGAAACCATCAAAGTGTCTCCTTCCAAAAGTAGAAAATTAAAAACAATCTACTGGACTTTGTTTCCAAGTTTGAAGACGTTTCGCTTCCCATCCAGGAAGCTTTCATTTTATATTGAGAAAGTTTCCTGGATGGGAAGCGAAAGGTCTTCAAACTTGGAAACAAGTCCAATAGATTGTTTTTAATTTTCTTTTTTCAGAATGACTATGACCTGGATGACTGAGAAACTTCATCACCACATCAGTGTCATTTAAATGAAGCTGGTATCACATGATGCCACAAGCTCTAACAAGGTTCCCAGGCCTTTTGAGAACGAATCAGCTCTTCCCTATCATGCATACTCCACCTTATTAAATGGTGAACAAATGGATGTGTTCTTTAGTTTCACTGCGTTCCCGCCTGGTTTGTTTAATCCTAGTCTCCTATGAGCGCTGTTCAGTTAAAGTCCCAGCAACGTCTGCAAATCCTTTCGATTTTAAGACAGGGAAGACATGCCTCCCAGTGGGAATGAAGATTCTAGTGGTTGCTATGGAGACCTAATGACCTCAAGATGCCCCTCTTCGCTGCAGTTTTCTAAGAGTTGACTACAGAGTTGTTTTAACAGCTTTATTTGCCCGCTGTTTATGTGGTGACTGGGTAAACATGGTTCATTTGTGATAAACCTTACATTTTTGCTCTGATTTTTCTTCTTTGTTTGACTTTATTCATCAAAACATGTCACATTTAGTTGTTTTTATTTCAGAGTAATTTATACTTCATGAAGCTGGAGGTTATCGGTTGCTAATTAAAAAGTTTCCAGACAGTTAAGATTTCCCTTATGGTCAGAATCAGAACCCGTGGAACTCAGTTAAAAGCATCGGGCCATAAGACGGAACATCATTGGATGTCTTGTTTTGTTTAATTCCTCTGAGATAATAAGGAACTACTTTTTTTTTTTTTATTAACTGCCTTTTTACTACCTCTCTCTTCTCCTTAGGTGGTCCTGGCCAGCTGGTACCGCGTGTACACAGGTGTTATGGGCTACTTTGGGATCCCCACAAAGATGTGCTGGTCCATTAACAGAGGAGAGGGACTCACTCCTGTGGATAGCTGTGAAGGTATTCAGTTGCCATGGAGCCTCATTCTGAACTACAAAGGCTCATCTGAGTTAGTTACCTCACTCTGACACACATAGCATCTGCTGCATGAATTTATTGGCCTTGGTGCAAAGTTAAAGGAATAGTTCAGGTTTTTAGACATGATGTTTTGTGAAGCTAAGATGTAGCTGTGTTACTGAGATCACCGCGCCTCCTGCTATGAGAAACAGCCGGTGACATACCAGGGAGGTAGTTCTATTACGGTATGGGGCCACAAATAATCAAAGTTTTTTAACCTAGAAAACTATGCATGTGTTTTGTTAAAGTATTTCAACAATTTTGTAAACTCCCAGAGCTATGTCAGACCTTTTTATCAATTAGAACTATTTTTTGCCGTCTATCACTCCGCCGCTTAGATGTCGAAAACATTCCCTGCGAACAGCAATAAACTAAACAGCTCATCAACACGTTAAAAGCTGTTTAAAAAAGTGAACTATTACACCACTATTTGAAATGAAAAGTATGTGCTAGCCCTATATACTGTATAACTCAGCTTTTTGGTTGGCTTTAAAAAAATATCTTTTATTTTAGACCTAGAGGGACTGTTTTTTAGTCCTACCTCCAGCAGAGAAATCAGTCCGCTCATCCCCACTCAGGCACGCCGTCTGCCCAGCAGACTTCTCCAGTCTTCCGCAGTTCTCCTCCTGAGTTAGTACCAGCAAACCGCCGCCTCTCATCTGCTTTTGCTTGAAATCTACACTGCAAAAAATGGAAGTCTAAATAAGTCATTTTTGCTCAAATCAGGTGCATTTTTTCTTGAATTGAGGAGGTAAGTGAGACACTTCACCAATGAAACAAGACAATTTACATTCAAAATAAGAAAAAAACAATTGCTTTGTCTTATTTTAAGTGTATATTATCTAATTATCTTATTTTAGGAGTAAAAATACTCATTCCATTGGCAGATCATCTTATTTACCTGCTCAAATTAAGGGTAAATACACTTAATTTAAGGCATTTTTTACTTATTTCAAGATGTTTTTTGCAGTGTACTTGGCCAGCGATGGAAATTGGCACGGCCAGCGTATAGGATCCAGTAAGGACAACAGAGAGAAGGTGAGACGGCATTTCCTGCTTCTCCTTTCTGAGTTCCGGAACGCTGCCTCACCTCCCCTCTGTTGTCCGTCATAGATCCCCTCGTCGGCCGTTGATGAGCTGTTTGCCTTATTTCTGTTCGCAGGAAATTTCTTTTGCATCTGAGCGACAGAGTGATAGCAAGTCCCAGTTGAAATTAAGGTCTGAAATGGCCCCTGGGATTTTTTAAAAATTGTTGAAGTAGTCTAACAAAACACTTGCAATGTTTTCTAGCTTAAAAACCTTTAATTATTCATGCCCTAGCACCAAACCAGAAATATCTTTTCTTCTGTATGTTACCGGATGTTTCTCATAGCAGGAGCCTCAGTGACTGTAAGGACACTGTTACATCTTAGCTACAGATGGTGAACGTTTCATGCAACTTCATGTCCAAAAACCTGAAAGATCCCACTAAACAAACTGGAAAATATTGTTCTATAAAATTTCCAAGATTAATAAGGATTTCATGTCTCTGAAGCATAATTCAGACACCAGAAATGAGCATGGGAAGGGACTTCACTGGCAGCTGGCTCTCATGCTGTATTGGTATTTGATGAGGGTACACTGTAGATGCCTCTTTTTGGAGGTTTTCCAAAAACATCTCACTGAAAGGAGAGAGGAAAACAGTCTGAGAATGCACTGAAAGATTCCACACCTCCTCTGGCCAGGATGTGCATTGAATTCCTGCAGATTGAGCTGGAAAAAGGATACAATGAGACGACGATGATCAGGCACATTTACAGATACCAATGTACAAACGGTGCGTCCAGAAACAGAATTCAGTGTTTTTTATTTCCAATTAGCCCCTTGCTGATACAAAGATGATGTTTATGGTAAAAAAAAAAAAAGCATGAAGATGAAGGGTTTCACAGATGGTCTTAAAGATGAGAGCTGTCTGGGGTTTACAACGAGGAAATAAAGCTTCAGAATCCATTTAATAGTGTTCCTTAGGGAAAGCTGCTGTTAGCTCTCTGTGTGGCTGCTGCAGTCTCTGTTCTGCTTCTGTCTTATTAGTGGAAGCAGCAGGGCTATTGTGAACGCTTTGTTTTCACAGTGTTTACACAAACTGGCTGCAAAGCTGCCCTAAGTTTCCTGTAAATACTGTCAGTTAGCATTTTCATTTTTGTGCAATATAAAATGACACGACAGAGAGCTGAGAGTATTTATTCCATATATAGAGCAACTGCTGTTTGCTCTGTGATTCACAGCTACATAAGGGCGTTGAAGCACGGAGGCCTGTTAGTCACTACACTCTTAACACTGTCCACTCGGTTTTTTTCTTATTCTGCTGAAAATATTAAGGGGAACTGATTATAAAGGTGCTAATATTTGCAGCTTTTAATGTGAAGCATATATTTGTATTCAACCACCCTTAGGTGATATGTTTGTATAAACACATTTGCTGCAACTACAGATGCCAAGTCCACCTGCTTTATAGCTAATTGACCCACGGACAGATACATCTTTGTCCTGTGCAGTTGCTGTTTCACACTGTCCTACTGAGGCAGAGGATGCTCTCAATCACAGCTCTATAGAAATTTTTGTGCAGTTGATCAGACCTGACCTTTTCTAAACCTAAAGGTATTCTGAAGACTTAATTAAAGCATTCAATTCAGTTCTGTTTGATGCGCCGAAGGATTTCAGGCCAGTGGCTCTCGAGGAGCAGAGTTAGAGACCCTTGTTTCACATGTTAGATGTGTCTCCTACAAACAAAATGCCGCCATCTAACCTACTTACTTCACATTTGCAAGTTGTATAATTTTAAAGTTTGATGGTTAGAGAAATGTTAAAGCATGTAGAGCAGTGAGTATGTTGCTTCATCGTGGGGAAAACTCAAGCTCTGCAGCTTTGTTAGCTTTTTATGACCCTGAGGTGATCATATTCTTCCATAACAATTTTTTTTGGGTAGACCATCTCTAAACTAACCTGACTCTGCCCGATGGATTTGCTCCGCATATCCATGTGGAAACCTTCCGTTTAGCTAATTTTGGGAGGGGGCGAAAATACTGGTTAGCTAATTTGGCCTATGTTAGTGATAGACGGGCCAAATAAACCAATCAGATCAACGAAGCATATGACGTACTAACAGAGCGACAACGAAAACACAACCACAAGCCAGGCTACTCTTGCCGAAACCAGTCGGGAGTAGA